TGCATTAAGAAGAGCATCTCCAGCAGGTCGAGGGAGGTGCTCCTGCCCCTCTACTCAGCCCTGGTGAGGCCGCATCTGGAGTACTGTGTCCAGTTCTGGGCTCCACAGTACAAGAGGGATGTGGAGCTGCTGGAGAGAGTCCAGCGCAGGGCCACAAGGATGATCAGGGGCCTGGAACATCTGCCCTATGAGGAGAGGCTGAGGGAGCTGGGCCTGTTCAGCTGGAGAAGAGAAGGCTGAGAGGGGATCTAATCAGTGTATATAAATACCTCAAGGGAGGGAGTGCAGAGGATGGTGCTGGCCTCTTTTCAGTGGTGGCCACTGACAGAACTAGAGGTAATGGTCACAAACTGAAACACCAAAGGTTCCACAGGAACTTAAGGAAAAATTTCTTGACAGTGAGGGTGACAGAGCACTGGACCAGGTTGCCCAGAGAGGTTGCGGAGTCTCCTTCTCTGGAGATCTTCAAAACCTGCTTGGACGCAGTCCTGTGCCACGTGCTCTAGGTGACCCTGCGTGTGCAGGGGGTTGGACTAGATGATCTCTAGAGGTCCCTGCCAACCTTAAGCATTCTATGATTCTATGAAATGACACCGATAAACTAGGTAACATTTATTGGACCTTCTATAAAGAACAGTTTTGCAGCTGCCTATTGGTAGCAAAGGAAAAAGCTGAGAGCTTAAGAAGTCTTTACTTTTCAGCAGTGAAGAGAAAGGCCAGTTGGCATCGTCTTGCCAGCTTTGAGCTTTCTCGAGAAGCCTTGTTATTCACAGCAGATTCCCCAGTGTGTATCTAGGTTGCGAACACTCATTTCAGGGTTACTTTAGACTACGCTATTGCCTCTAGACTTACTTCTCTGGCCTTTTTTTTTTTTTTTTCCCCTTTTTGGGTTTCTTTTTTTGTATGTAAAAAAGAGAAAAATTATTCTCTTTCATATGGTGTCGACTGAAATTAGTCAAGTAATTGTCTGTCTCTTTTGCAGAGCCTTTGACAGGAAAACATATAGCTGCTTGTTGGTGTGACTCTAAGAACAAAACGTAGGGCTGCTGCTAAAATGAAATGAGTGCAGATATCTTAGATGAGATAAAAGCTTCTTATGCTTTGATTTCATGGCAGCCTACAGGCAGACCACAAGTCGCAGTTTGATGTTAATTTTATCTATTCATTCATTTTAAAATATGAGTGAATCATGGTGCTCGTCATGGAAGAGAGATCTGGAGAAGAGTAAGGCCCCGCTGTGCGCTACCTGCTTCATGCTTGTGCAGTACAGACTTCATTAGAATCGGAGTATTAGCCACAGTATATGATGTTAGCGAGGATCAAAATTTAGCTGGGAAACCCCAGCAGCCCCTTAGGGCCTGGTCGGCAGAGCTGTGAAGCCTGTATTTGACTATAAATTTTTTATTTTTTACAGCTGAGTGCTTGTTTCCATTTCTAGGCCATAGTTCAGCAAGGGACTGATGAATTATGCAAGGCCAGTCTGCCGGGCGCTGCTGGAGGACGCGCGGTGGCACGGGCGCTCCGCGGCTCCGCTCCAGGCACCTGTAATGCTGGGGCGTTCACAGCTCCGTCTTGTCTCGCCCCGCAGATCGCAGCCGGACCCCGAAGGCAACGTGGCGGCCGAGGCCAGCACCGGAGGGGTGGCCATGGAGTCTGCACTCTACGTCAAGGCGGCGCAGCCGGCGCTCGAGGACCTCTCAGGTGGGTCTGCCCACGGAGCCCCCTCGCTGGGCCATGCTTGAAGACGCGTGGGCTCAAGGGCCGAAACCAGCCGGAGGCAGCAGCTCCCTCTGCGGGGGGCGGAGGGGAAATCTAATTTGTTTTTATTCGGAGGCTTTGCATTTTTACTAGCTATGGTATTTCTTTTGGCTCTTCAGTGATGGAAACTGGCTATTAATATTTTGAATGCTGGAGGCTCAAGTTCTACAAAACTCTGCCCCTCAGATTTCTGGAAATCATTAAAATTGTGCGTGTCTTCTGGGGAGTATACGCTCATTTTAAGATTAAGATCTTATGAGGGTCCTAATTATCTCTAACAGCATGATATTAATATTTTAATATTTACTCTCTTCTGTAACCTCTGGGGTCTTAAACAGAGTTTAATTTAGTATTCTTGATGTTTTTATTAGTTTGTAGGTTTGGAAGAGCATTCGCTGTCATTAATTCTCACTTGGAGAACTGGTCTTGCAGCAGTAAGACATCCAACTTCAGTTTGCTGTGCCCAGCATGCGCAAGCCTAAATTGATTATGACTAGGATATAAGTAGTTGAAAAGTACAAAGTACTTTCCATATTTATCTAAACTTTTTGCTACTATAAGAAATGCTTGCTAATGAGCAGTATTTTTTTAAGCTTGTGCATGGTAACAAAGCTATTTTTATCAACTATATTCTACTAAAGACATAGAAAGTGTTCTTAACTCACAGTCAAGTCTCTCCTCCTCCTCCCTTTCTGCTTTAGCAAGGTCTGTGTTTATGCTTATTCGATAGTTGTATTGCAGTATATCCCATCAATACAATATCTCAGTATTTTTTCATCTAGGTAGTGTTGGCATCCTGTAGTGTAATGTGAGTTTTGAAACTGATTCTTCTGCTGAAGGAGCTAACGGATTAACCAACACCGGACTAAGTTTCACATTTGGGTTAATTTCAGATATCATTACGTATTCTGTCCTTTACACATGTATATGCATTTACTGATGGCAAAGCCAAGAGGCAGAGTCATGGTGAAGGAAAGGGCTGCAGAATGCATAAATGCACGTACCTGCAAGCAGGACATCTATATCGCTGGATTAAATATAAGGCAAATAAAGGGCACAACGAGTAAAATTCCTGAGTGCAGTTGGGTTCGTACTCAGATATGAGAGCCAGTTCACAGCGAGAGGCATGGAGTGTGCAGCTGCTTTTGCCTTTCCAGCCTGACATCTTAATCATTGCATTGCCTAACCTGGATGTGTGATGTTCACAGTCAGGCTGTGACCAGGGAGCGTTACAGATCACACAAGGTTATTAGCCTTTAGTAACAAACATTATGTAAACACAAACTGTTATTTAAGTAGAATATATAAGTTTGAGGTCCAAAAACGCACGTGAGCCTGACAGCCTCAAACAAGGGGGATGTAGGAGCCAGTTGCGCTTGGCCAAGCTCCACAGTCAGCACCAGTCAATAAGTGTCTTAGGGGAAAATGACCACAAACAAAACAGTTCCTCAGCCTAAATAAATCAGGAGAAATAAGTAGCGGATTTCTTCTTTCCGTATATGGGCATAACAGCTATTGATGCTTTTAAATTAAAAGCACATATGGAGAGGGAGAAAAAAAGAGGGAGCCCAGACAGGGAAGACTGGAAAGGGAATAGTTTAATGATACTTGCTGCATATTCATGAAGAGCTAAGTGATTTAATAATTAATTTTTAGTAGCGCTATTCAATATCTGTCCTTTAAAAATCTTTCTCATTTACATTTGAATGTTATTTAGGTAAAATTTTTATATCCATTTCGGTTTGAGTGATCTCAAAAGAAATAACAGAAATAGCTTCAGACTCGGATAACTCTCTTGTAGGTTCTTTTAAGAACTTATCTAGTGTTTGCCTTCCTATC